TCATTTGTGATTAGTGCCACCAGCTGGCTGGCATTCTGTCTACATCTGAGGCCTCTAACCTTGTTTCACACCTGAGCTGTGGTCCGGCTGAGCAGGCTGTTGGGGCACAAAGCAGTCGCCTCACTCCTCTGAGCTGTAAAGGAGCTGTAATCCAGCATCTCCTACTCGCCTTCGCTCAAGGTGGCCACGCCTGGTCTGATGTTCAAACCTGTGCTGCTGGTTTCTCTCTGCGCAACACGTTCTGTGGAAAAGCACCCAGGGAAGATTCCAAGAAGGAAGAGGCTGGGGTTTTCTCCTATCCCACAGGAAGAAAAGAAAGGTGGGAATTTTGTGGTGGGCAGAAAGTGGCATTGTTTTAACCGCATTTCATTGCTTGTAGTGAGAGAGAGAGAGAGACACGAGAGAGTGAAGGTTCCTGGTGGAGAACCCATTGCATTAGCCTCTGTCTGTCCTTCCTGGCAGAGGGTGCTTTTGGGCTTGTGCTCATTATTACTTTTTTTTTCTCCGATTTTGAATGACAGTAGAATAAAGAAATCGATCAAATGACATCTTAGCCTGCGCACGCCGTCTCAAAAAAACGGCCGATATTCTGAGCAGCCACAGCTGTCGGCTTGACAGCTGAAGAACCCCCGTCCCCCAGAGTAAACCAAATAATATTCTTCCCCATTAAAAGAAGATTAAAAGCTGCACTCTTTATTTGATTTTGTTTTCCAGGCCGGCTGCGATGTTCCAGTTGTCTGTACAGATTTTATCAGTTCAAATCTAAAAAAAGCCTTCGTCAAGTGTTGAGTCCATGGGGGTGGGAGGGGGAGTCCAGCCTGTTAAATATTTGAAGGCACATCTTTTCCTGCGCAGAATTCAACACGGAGCATGTTCAGCCCTTAAACGGGGGCGATTTGATTTGTGTTGACTGAATGCCGAGCTGTGTTTGATTGGTCTGCACCTTTGCCACATCTGGCTTTACCACCTAGTGTTACCTGAGGAGCTGCTTATAGCATTTCAAAGCCACAGCCCTGCCTCTCAGTCAGGGGCTCTGTAAGGGAGCCCATACAGACCTCAAGCACGGACAGGGAGGGGAGTACCTCGAGCAGGTGTAGCGATTGCGGTCCTTCATCACCGAGCAACTTGGGGATGTAAGCGTGTGCGTCACAGTTTCTTTCTGCTTTACTCCTGTGGGTTTGCCTTTGCTAATCTCTGGTTGGTTTTTCTGTCACGGCAAAAGTTTGGCAATATCAGTCTTGTTCCCACACCTTGTCGTGTTGTTCTGTGTTTTCCTGAATTAGCCTGCTCCTTAGTCAAGAGAAATTCGAGAAGTTTGCCTACAATGCCAAGTGCCCAGTGTCACCAATGGAAATACGTTTCTAAAGCTCTGATCCATGCCTTT